CTCACTGTTGAAAAAAATGACATAAATTACAATAAGGGGGGGCGGACCTATTGTCCTCCCCCCCTCCCCCACCCTGAGCGGCGGGTGGGGGCCATGAAGATAATGAGGGGGGGGACCTACTGTCCTCCCCCCCTGGCCCCCACCCCTGAGCGGTGGGTGGGGGCCCTAATAAAACAATAAGGGGGGGGGAACCTACTGTCCTCCCCCCCTGGCCCCCACCCCTGAGCGGTGGGTGGGGGCCCTAAATAAAGATATGGGGGGAACCTCTGTCCCCCTCCCCCCGGCCCCCACCCCTGCGTGGTGGGTGGGGGCCCCAATAAAACAATAAGGGAGGGGGACCTACTGTCCTCCCCCCTGGCCCCCACCCCTGAGCGGTGGGTGGGGGCCCTAATAAAACAATAAGGGTGGGGACCTACTGTCCTCCCCCCCTGGCCCCCACCCCTGAGCGGTGGGTGGGGGCCCCAGTAAAACAATAAGGGGGGGGATAGGTTTTTTTGGGTGGGGGGGTGGTGACTAGGGGCTTGGGACCCCTAGTCACCTTGATTGAGGGGGGGGGTGTTTCATTTAGGGCCCCCACCCACCGCTCAGGGGTGGGGGCCAGGGGGGAGAGGACAGTAGGTCCCCCCCTTATTGTTTTATTAGGGCCCCCACCCACCGCTCAGGGTGGAAAATTCAAAATAACTTTCCCACGCTGTGTAAAATGACTCAGAGCACTCTGATTGGCTTAAACCCTAATTGCAGGGCGGGGCAAGGCTTTATAAGCCTTGACCCGCCCTGCGGAGCTCAGTATGCGGCGTGCCCTCGAAGGGCGAACATGGATTAATTTTTTTTGCGCTCGTTTTTTTTTTTTAAAGTGCGACGGGTATAATGGATTTTTATTTGGCCTTTTTGGGGGCTGAAGAAAGAAGATTTTAGAAAAAAAAGACGTCAAATGGTAAGTTTAATTTTTTTTTTTTTTTACAGGTTGGTTATTTTTTCCCCCCGTCACTGTTTTTAGGGTGAGTGGGGTAGGTAGGGGATAGTTTTTTTTTGGGTGGGGGGTGACTAGGGGCTTGGGACCCCTAGTCACCTTGATTGGGGGGGGGGTTTCATTTAGGGCCCCCACCCACCGCTCGGGGGGGGACAGAAGTTCCCCCCATATCTTTATTTAGGGCCCCCACCCACCGCTCAGGGGTGGGGGCCGGGGGGGAGGAGAGTAGGTTCCCCCCCTTATTGTTTTATTAGGGCCCCCACCCACTGCGCAGTGGTGGGGGCCGGGGGGGGAGGACAGTAGGTTCCCCCCCCTTATTGTTTTATTAGGGCCCCCACCCACCGCTCAGGGGTGGGGGCCAGGGGGGGAGGACAGTAGGGTGGGGCCCCCCCCCGCTCAGGGGTTAGGTCCCCCTTGTTTTATTAGGGCCCCCCCCACCGCGCAGGGGTGGGGGCGGACAGAAGTTCCCCCCCCATATCTTTATTTAGGGCCCTCACCCACCGCTCAGGGGTGGGGGCCAGGGGGGGCCAGTAGGTTCCCCCCCATCTTCATTTAGGGCCCCCACGGGGCTATAAGCTGCTCACTGCTTACTACACATGCCCCTACTCGCGGTATAGCAAGTAGGGGCATTTAATTTACTAATACTAAGTAATCTTTACTCAGTATTAGTAAATGTGGCTGAAAGCCCAATTAAGGTCTTTCAGCCTTTTAGTAGATAGCTCCCTGATACTGTGGGAATTAGGGAGTTATCTACTAAGCGGCTGCAAGATGCAGCCACAGCAATGAATAGGATCGGAGTTTCATTCATTAGAATGAAATTCTGATCCGAATAAAGTGCCGAATTGCATTCTAAAAGAAACGAACATACTGTTGTCATTCAGTTAGAACGCAATTCGTCAGTTTTGTGGAAAGTGACAGGCAGCATCGCGGGAACAGAGAGGGAAGGTGAGGATCATGGGAAAATTGCTCTGACCAGCGGAAATGAAGCACACTTTGCTCCTCCGCTGGTCAGAGCTGGTCAAACGGAGGAATCCTCCATAAGGCAAAGAGTCCCTACTTTGTCTTATGATTTTAAAGAAAACTAAAGAAGACAGGAAGAAAAGAAGAACAGATCCTGAGAGAGGGGGAGAAGAGGAAGAGATTGAGGAAAGGTAAGTTCGGCATGACAGTGCCGCTTTAAGTTTAGACGTCCACATTTAATAGTGGTTTACATTGTTGTTATCACTTTTGGTATCAATTTTGTCTAAGTTTAAATTGCTACATTCATTAGTGATTGACATACCTTGCAGCTAATAGACTAGACTTTTTTATGAGTCCTAAGGCTATTTGGTTTTTTACTTCACTATTTTGAAGAAATTTTATTTATTTTCTATAGACTTATTTTGGGGTGGTTTGAAGGAGAGCGGACAGTCTTGTCACGAGGTGGTCTCTCCTTCATTTTCTGTTTTTTGTATATTTTGTGCTTTATGCAGGGTTATGCCCTTGTCGCCACCCCTATAACCCACTTTTCTCTGTACTTCCTATTAGGCTTTCTATTTTGGAAGTACCATTATTTATCAATTCTTTGCCATTTAGGAGTTAAATCACTTTCTTTTTGCCTCCCTATTCAGTTTCACATCTGCTCTGCATTTGACCTACACAGTCGTCCTATACATTCCCTGTAAAGAGGGAGCTAACGTATAAACTTTCTTTATTGCACAGTATGTTTAATTTAGAATCTTATCTTCTGCTCTGTTAATCATCTGCTTAAGCCAGCAGGAGCCTCCTGTGTGCGATTAGCCCCTTAAGGACCAAACTTATTTTATTTGTTTTGTACTTAAAGACCAAAGCAACTTTTGCATTTTTGCTATATGTTTGCTAACCCATAATTTCCATCATTTTCATTTATTGCACCAATAATTATTAAATACAGATTTTTAAAGGATAAAAAGGACTTAATGTGATGTGACGTAATGTACGTATATACTTTTTCACTTGATATAGAAAACCAAACAAAACAGTTTGGGCAATAATAACATATGTATAAATAATGTAACTTAAGAAAAGCTGTTCAAAACAAATACATTTATTTGACCTGATTTACAAGTACATAATAAGTATAGTATTTGAGTTTATTTTCGGTAGCTCCAGGTCACTAAATATACAGAGCAAAATACAATCTCAATGTGGAATGATTTTAGAATTTGGTATGTTTGTCTTCTAAGTTTAATAGACATCGCAGAAAACTAAATTACCACAAAAAAGTATTTATAAGTAAACATCTCAGGTTTTATTTACCCAAGGATATGTTTACACTTTGTTATATAGCCATCTGACCACTAATCTCGGCTAAATATTATAGAAGATTTGTGTTTTCTGATTTTTTACATACACACATATAACAAGGTATTTTAATGTGTATTTTGTTACCCTGATGTGTGCTACTCCTGTAAAAAAAACAATATTGCATTCAGCTACATCTTCTGTATGCCTGTCAATCCATTTAAGAGACCTGACCATTTCAGTTTGTACTGTAGAATGTTAATAGAATTTTTGGCCTATTTCTCATTTTGGGACATTATAGCAGTTTGACTGTACAAATTACCCCATAAAGGCCTATCATTTGTGAAAGTAGATACTCCAAGATATCCCATATGGTGTATATTGAGCCTTCATATTCCAACTTGTTTTTTCTTTTTTTAATGTTTTGCATTTTTTTACATACATATTTCACTTTTTCTGGGCATTTTGCAAATCTGATATGTGCCACTATGATCTAACCCTCCAAATTATGCTCAGCAAATTCTTCAGAATAAAATAATCCATCCAATATTTTCCTTTGGCACTATTTTAGAATTTTCCTATAAAATCTCCTCCCCTAATCTTTTTTCACTCATTTCAAGGCACAGAAGAAAATACCCTCTTTGATTATGTGCCGTTTTAAAATGATGGGGGACTGAATGGGTATCTGAGCTTTTTTTAATATATCGAATATGTTCTGCAATCCTAACTTTTAATGGTCTAATAGTTCTACCTATATATAAAAGGTTGCAGGGGCATTCTAAAATCTATATTTTTGTCCTTAGAATGGCATGTGAGGTGGTCTTTAATTTTATATTGTTTTCCAATAATGTGACTTATTTCTACTAGATGTCTGTTACTTTTTGTCTCTCTGCATGTAAGGCAGTTCCCACACACGTAGAAACCTAAAAGACTATCGAAAGGATTGTTTAATTTTTCTGTTTCTATACAGATTTTAACTAAAATATTCAGTTTTTTTTCGTAGATATAGATGATTTTTGGTTTGGATGGTATAATCCTATTTAAAAGAGATCCAATTGTGTGGCATTCCCTGTCCAGATGAAAAATATGTCAATGAATCGGCGATAGGACACTAAGTTTGCTACCCAGTCATGGACCTGTGAGATAAGCCTCCTCCCAATATGCCATGGACAAATTAGCATAACTGGGAGCAAACTTGATGCCCATCGCCGTTCCGCATACCTGTAAATAAAATTTATGTTTTAACAAAAAAAAAAAAAAAAAAAGGATTAGTTAAAATTAATAAGATCCCCTCTAGGATAAAATTGACTTGTTCCTCTTTGAAGTTTGATTTTTCTAAAAAATATTTTACTGATTGGATTCCATTTTCGTGTGGGATGATGCTATATGGTGAGCTAACATCGCACGTAACCAATATGTTGCCCTCTTTTCAATCAGTTTGGTTCAAAATTTGTAACATATGGATTGTGTCTTTAAAAAAAAATATGGGTTTTTCACCACCAGAGGTAGTAGTACATCAATGTACTCAGAGATCCTAGCTGATATTGACTCGATACCTGAAATGATCGGTCTTCCTGGAGGATTGGTTTTGTGTTTATGTACTTTGGGAAGATGATAAAAAATGGCTTTTCTAGGGTTAGTTTGAAATAGATATTTTGCCTCTTTTGGGTCTAGATTTTCTAGTTCTCTTCCTCTTTCTACATGCAATCTAAACTTCTCTTTTATTTCTTCTGTGGAGTTATGTGGTAATTTTTTGTTTTTTTCACATGCCATTCTAAGGGCATGATATATATTTTAAAATGCCCCAGAAACCTTTTATATATATATATATATATATATAAATAAATAAAAAAGGTTTCTGGGGCATTTTAAAATATATATTATGCCCTTAGAATGGCATGTGAAAAAAACAAAAAATTCAACTAATTTTGTTAAACTAATTTGCATATGCCCACCCAGAATCCTTTGCGGTTGTAATATCACTGCTGATTTGGGATTTCTGTGGGAAAAGAAAGTCTTATGGCTTGACTGGTGTGCAGATTTTTGTTTAGCATTGTATTAACTATCCACATACTTCAGGTGGAAGGGGTTTTCAATCACAATTTTTCCCCACCATAACCTATTTGGATTTTGCTTCCCAAGCACTACCAAGCCTCACTAAGCAAACCAGTAACCAACCTCATGCTGAAGAGTTGCATTAACAACGAAACAGCTGTCCATATAGTTTTGTTTTGAGAATGTACAAATATCTGTTTTTTTTTTAAATCTCTCTCCCGGTTTATAATCAATTGTGGACATTCCCCAACAACTTATATTCCTTCAAAAGACACTATTGAGGGTGGAACGCAAGGATTCGTTCCACCGACCTAAATCAGGAAGTTAAAGCCAACGGCACGGAGCGTTACGGCACAGACGTGGTGCATCTGGACAGTGACGTCCTGGCGTCATCAGAGAGAGGAGTATTGAAAGGCGGAAAACACAATTGGTACCTATAAAGGACTATGGGACTAAGAAATACAACATTGAGCAACTGAGGAAGCCTTGGAAGGAGGCGAAACGCGAATTGCATCACTACTGGACTGTAAAGACTTTACCACTGTCACGGATGGCCGTCCGAAGACCGGGACCCCTGTGTGCCTGATGTAGATGATAGGAGTCTCAGCGTGAAAATGGACTATCAGGGCCTGGTGCAGGGTAACCACAAATCGGACACTCGACTACGCGAACACCGCTAAGACCTCTAGAGCTCCAGAATTACAGACTGAAACACACGAACGGCTCGCCGTTCAGTAAGATTAATACCACGAACAGGGGGATTCATCCGAATGCCAGCTCAGCCATGGATGGCAGATATTTTCGGGACTTTTAACTCATGAAAGGAGACCGACCGCAAGGCCAAAATGTATGGAACTAATTTCGGCTACTGCTGCCTGTGCGGTCGGTCAAAAGTTTACTTCCACCTAACTTCCGAACCCCTGGTCCAATCTGGGTGAATTTTGAATATGTTGCTCACCCAGATCAGGGCTATCAGAGGATACCACATTTAGAGTTTTTTCTTAGTATATTTGGGGTACATCTAAGAATTGGGAAAAAAGTGTACTGTTGTGCTATTTGGTGCCCCATAATTTTCAATATTAAAAGAAAACAATATGGATGCTGGTAGACTGGCCTGGACATTTTGTAATGCTGTTTCAACACAAGTCAAAGCAACTTTGTATTTTGTAACCTTAAGAAGTAAACAGGAGGAATACTTAGCTACAGTTTAATTTGTGAGCTGTGTACAAGGGTAACAAGAACAATGGTTTATTACTCAATGGGACTTTACAATCAGAGATACTTAAACTCACAGAGCTTCAAAGGGGTATACAAACTATGCAATTGTTTGTGCATAAACATCACAGGCAATACAGAGTATTGTCAGCCATATGAACCTAAAGTCTGAGGTCGCTTCCATATTTTCAGTATATTAGAACTTAAATGAATCTATTGGAATCATGAATGATATACAAATGTAAAGAAAATGTGTGATTGCTACAGTAATGTCTATAACTGCATCCTTGATTGTGTCAGGGTATTTATATCGGCAGACATTTTGTGCTATGATAGAAATTAAAAGTGTATATTTTGAGTCACTTTGAACAGAGCAGACTCCATTTTGTTATTTTCAAGATTTCTTTCTGTAAAACTAACCACTTTGCCAGAGCTAAAGGAATGCATAGTATATACAAACCAAGTGATAAGAAAAACGGGGGTTGGATAGACTGTCTATATGTATAAGGTCCCATTGTAAGTTATGGGTCAAAACTTAAAGAAACTGTTTTTATCTGACAGAAAATCTGAGTTATGGCACTATAAAGATAACGCAAAATGACGTCAAAATAGCCACCAAGGAAAGTTTAACTCTTTCCTGGATAGGTATGTTTAGTGGGACAAGACTGCCCTCTATAGACCAAATAACTAATTTGCGATCTGGAAGATAACCACACTTCTAGTGCTTCTATTGGGTTATCAACTGATGACGTACAGAGAGTCTGGCCCTTTAAAAGTTAAGACAAAGGGAAGACAGGGAGATGCAAAGAAAGCAAAGAAGTGAGCAGTGGGGAGCAATGACGCTCTAGGACACACAAATTCCTACACACCTCCATGCAGAGAGACATCCAAATCAGTTCCTGAGACTATCTACCAATTGGATGAAATATCTACTCAACTGGTAATTATACTGGTTTCATTTAATTAATTAAATTAATTAAAATGTATTAATAGCATGATATATGACTAGGATAAAGCACGGTCAGATTTCCATATTAAGAAATCTTAGCTAAAGAATATATAGTTATAAACATTCCATTCTGCAGGTGGAATTAAGAATAATTATATATTAAGGTGATATTATCACATGTTAGCATACCGCTGTTTTTATCCAGGTGTATTGATTTGCTCTAATATAAGATAAGATATCTTTTTAGGTGAATTAAAATTCTGCTTTTGTAAAAATAATATGGTAGATTCTCTTATTGGATGGTTCCAGGAAATGACTAATGAACTGGTTTAAATGTATTTTATTTAAAATTACATAAGAATAGATCTTAACTACCTAGGAGATCTAGCCAGCATTGAAAGGGTTATTTTAACGGTCAGCTAAACTTTACGACCTTACGCTGCACTCTGAGGAATTCTGTTCTCGGCGTGAAACTTGTTCTTTCTCTCTGTGAAAGATAGTCATAAATCGTAAAAGTCTTGACAGAAAATGCTGTTTAGCCATTGAAACGGGTATAGCCATTCTTTTGTATTGCATATCATTTTATACTGGATATTCATTGATTATTGTCACGCATGTTACATATTATTATTATTAATTAATTTGTTATTATAAATAAAATCTATTTTTATAACATTGTAATTATTTATATGAAATACTTCTCACTTAACACGATAACGATATTTGGGATCTGAGAATTGAATTAGTGGGCGATTCTCACTGTTACTATTATTATCCCATAAATATCCCCACAATTGATTTAGGGGTAAAAGGTAATATAGATATATTAATATAATTAGATTCTATTTTTCTTTGTAAAGATGAATGTATCAATCAGGTAATCATACAGGTTAGATTGATACAGCATATAGACATATTGCATGATGATTAATATAACCAACCCTGTTTCAATTAAAGAATATATATATAACCAAAGATAGATATTTAACATAATTTTAAATATCCCCAGTATAGGTGAATTAAAGGTCAATTCATTTATTTAACCAGGTCATCAATGATCATACCTAGGGAAATAGTGCCATCTATAGATGAAAGTCCCTAAGGGCCACATTAATTAAATATTAAGATACACCCATAACCAATCAAAAGTCAGATATAAGTCCCAGGTACTGCCCATTTACAAACAAGGGGCAGGAACTGATAAGGGGGAAATAATGGTTAAATAGTGAGAAAAATAAGAGAGAAGGGGAATATCTTCAGATCATCTTAAAAAAAGATCAAAGGAGAAAACAGAGGGCTAAGAAAGGAGGAGATTGACTGACTAAGGGCAATAGACTGAATTACAGACCAGAGCACCCAGAGAGGAGAATCCCAAATTGAATTAATTCATCCTAGACTCTTGGTAATGTATAAAGGTTTCTTTACTTTATATTAAATAAACTGGACTATTGAATGCCCTATGTGTCTATATTGTGAAGTGATCCCTATTGATAGAACAGTTATATCTCATTCTACCTGCAGCCTGAGTCAGATATAACTTCCTAAGTCGGAACATTCTTGATTCCTTCTTTAGACGTAGATCAGTTCTATATATATATATATTGTAACGGACTGTTTTGCACACAAGAGGTTAAAAACCGTTTAGGCGACATTCCCCTTTTCAGATGCACAGGCACAACTACTGCAGAACACCAAACTCCCGATCCGCATATAAGGGAATGCTCCAAACTCCCGAACTGCATACAAAATAGCACTCCAAACTCCCGAACTGGAACCTCACGAATAGCTGCTAGCAGACGAATAGGAAAAGCATCCAAGCAGCTTACACTCCTAGCAATCAGTCTCTAAGAGCATACAGTAAATCCCCCCCAAGAACAAAACAGAGCTCCGTGTTGAGGGTCAAGCAGTGGTCTGGTTTAATGAGGGCTACCTGCCCAGTATTTATGCAGGTCTCCCACCTGGTGGACACTCCCCTAGGGGACCAAATGGGAGACCGTGACAAAAGACCAATGACAGACACACCGAGGTAAAACATCCCCACAATGCATCCTAACTTCCCTCCCTCTGTCTTGGAGATAATTAGGAAGTAATCCAATTATCTCCCAGGACAGAGGCAAAACTCCATTAACCACATGGCAGTAAAAATACAGTAAAACACTTTAAAAAATATGCAAAGTTACATTTTATACATAAAATACAGACATGTCACATATCACCAGATATCTGGGATCTGAGCGCACATAAGTACCGAATAGCGCTCAGATCCTATGCACACAGTCCAATCGCCGTGGAGTTAGTGTTCACAAAGTCTGTTCTCCATACGAATAGACTCCATGGACTGGCTATCTGGGGTAATGCTGTTCATACGGTTTAAACGACCGAATGAACAGGCATCCAGTTAAATGACTGAATGCAGAAGCAAGGAAACTGACGGCTCAGCGGTGTTCGCGCAAATAAGTGTCCGTTTACAGTTCCATAGTTTGGGCGTTGAACACCGCTGGCCGTTCGGGACTTTAAAATGGCCACCGAACAAAGGCTACCGAGCATTCATCAATTAAGCTGCGGTTAACCGCAGCTTCTGGGAGGTAAATTGCCGACACACTCCAGCTCCCAAGTGATCCAGTCATTCGTGCGTTAGTTCGGTAGATTGAATCTACCGACCGCCGGGAAGAAAGGCAC